AGCGGAACGCGAGCGCACAGGGCCCACAGTGTCTGAGGATGGACGTTGGCGCACAAAGGCAGAGACCAACTGACTACATAGGTGGTTTTTATAGTACGTAATTTTGGCCTCCCTCTCAGCAGGTGTGAAAAAGGCCACCATTTTGGACCGGTTAGCGAGGGTCCAACAAGGTGGACAGCCAAAAGTCATCCCTCTGTCTGATGGTTATTATTCGGCTGTCGCTACGCAAGCAACCGAGCATGCTATGGGCCATTTGTGCCAAGGAATGCGAGGGACTCCCTGCCTCCATCTCCACAGCATACTGCCACGGTGCGTCTGGGTCCTCTGTCTCCTCCTCCTCCTCCTCTACCAGATGCTCCTGCTCCTCCACTCCTGTCCGCTGAGTGGAAAAACCACCCATTTCACTCAATAATTCCTGAGCACAAATGTCCTCCTCTACCTCCTCCTCTTCTTCCTGTCCTGCCCCCACAGGGGTCATGTGGCGTTGAGATCTGTGCGCCACGTCTACCGCACCCTGACCAGCCATTGTTAACAGCATTTGTTCCAGGACGTGCAACAGAGGAATGACGTCGTTCATCCCATAGTCCTGCCGACTCACGAATAGCGTGGCCTCCTCAAAGGGCCTGAGCAAGCGGCAGGTGTCACGCATGAGCTGCCAATGGCTGACATCTAAGTTACACAGGGGAGTACCTTTATCCGCTTGTAACATCAGGAAATCGGTGATGGCCTTTCGCTGCTCGTAAAGGCAGTCTAACATGTGTAGGGTTGAATTCCACCTTGTTGCAACGTCGCAGATCAGGCGATGCTGTGGAATTCCGTTCTGCCGCTGCAGCTCAATGGAGGGTGTTCTTTGCGGTGTAGGAATGGCTGAAATGCAAGCACAGTTTACGTGACATTTTAAGGATGTCTTGCAGTGGGATGGTGGATTTTAGGAACCGCTTGACAACCAGATTGAACACACGTGAGCCATGCATGGCGCATGGCACAACCTTCCTTGACAGAGCAGAGCAGACACCATGTTCTTTCCGTTGTCGGTCAACATGGTTTTGATTTTTCAGTTTGCGCGGAGACAGCCATCTGTCGATTTCTCTGTTCATTACACTCAGAAGTTCCTCCCCTGTGTGACTACGTTCGCCAAGGCATACCAGGTGCAGCACAGCGTGACACCGTTGCGCCCTGCACATGTGATATGCCGGTCGGGTAATGGGACTTGGCACGGGGGTGGCGGCTGAGGACACGGCGGAAAAAGAGGTGGTAGAGGCGGACATGTTTGCTGGACCAAGGACGTGCAAACGTGGAGGCAAAAGCGTCGTGACCTGTCCAAGTTGCTGGTGCGGCTGTGCCGGCACCACGTTCACCCAGTGGGCCGTAAATGACATGTACTGTCCCTGACCGTAGTTACAGCTCCACACGTCGGCGCTGCCGTGCACTTTGGCAGAGACCGACATGCTCAAAGACTGGCCCACCATCTCTTCTACATGTGAATGCAGGGCTGGCACTGCCTTTTGGGCAAAGAAATGACGGCTTGGCACTCTCCACCGCGGCGCGGCACAAGCCATCATTCTCGGAAAAGGTGCTGAGTCCACCAGTTGGAAAGGGAGGGACTGCAGCACCAGCAACTTGGACAGGAGGACGTTCAGCTTTTGCACCGTCGGGTGCGTGCTCGCAAAACTGTTGTCTCTTGGAAACGGATTCCAAGAAAGACTGTTGACGGAATCCGAGAAGAGGAGTAGCAGGAGAAGGAGCATCTGAACGAGCGGAAGATGCCAACGAGCGACAACTCCCCTCAGCAGAGGTGTTGGAGCCTTGACTGGCTGATAGAGGGCGATTGACGACGTCGGGTGACGGAGCAAGTAACGGAGCGGGTGATGGAGCGGGGGCTGGGGCAGGCAGAACCGCCGTATCTTTATCACGGTTTTCCCAGGCCACCGAATGGTGACGCTGCATATGCTGACGCAACGCTGTAGTCCCAACATGGGCCCCCTGGCCACGCTTGCATTTCTGGCCACATAGTCGACATACGGCTACGTTTACTTCCTCGGGCGGCTTGACAGGAAAAATTGCCACACCACCGAGTAGGAAACTTTGCCCCCGCTACTCCTCACTGGCTGACTGCTACTTCCTCCGTGCGCACCGGCACCACTACTGGCCGTGGTGGTAGGCTGCAGTGGAGCTGGTGCTCTACTCCGTGGACGTTTGGCTCCACTGACACTGATGCGACCCTGCTGTCCTCTCCTGGGCAACCCACCGACTGTTTTGCTCGCTGCCAAGCTGCCACCCTCTCTTCTCCTGATGATGCGGAAGAAATTGCCTGATGACGACGAGGCTGCCAAGTGCGATCAACCTCCTCATCATCAAGTAGGGTCTCCGCCTCACTACTAGCCCCCTCGGCTGCGTCTGGGTCAGGAGACAGACCTGTCTCTAGACCGGCTACCGAGCCACTCTCCTCGCCAGTACTTGTTCGCTTGGCTGCTGAAAAGGCCGATGTCTCCCCCCCGTTCCTGACCGCCCTCTGTTAGCTCTTCCTCACTGTACAGTGGGGCTGAGCCCACAGCATGCGATACTTCGCTTGGTGAGGGAACAGCAAAGGACAGGGGCAGGTAGAGGACACGTGATTTCAGTGGGCTTGGTCCCGGGCCATGCCAACTAACGGTTGTGTCTGACGTACCCACCGACCGTTGGCTGTAGGTGTCAGAGGTGACCTGGGAAGAGGAAGACGACCGAGCCAACCAATCAATGACGGCAGGGTTGTCGGTGGAGACACGACCGCTGGATGACACCGGGAGCACTGGCCTCTGGCTGCGAATACTGCTGCCTCGACCCCTTCCTCTGCTGCCACGTCTGCTCGCTCCTAAAACATTGCCTCCTCTGCCACTCCTCTGCATGTTGTCTGACATACTATTTAATTCAACGATTAGGTGTCCCTGAGTAACAATTCTCTGGCACTCAGTAACAATTCTGTCTGTCCCTGAGTATGAATTCTGTGGCCCTGAGTAACAATTCTGTGTCTGTGCGAGTAACAATTCTGTGTCTGTGCGAGTAACAATTCTGTGTCTGTGCAAGTAACAATTTTGTGTCTGTGCGAGTAACAATTCTCTGGCACTCAGTAACAATTCTGTCTGTCCTGAGTAACAATTCTCTGGCACTCAGTAACAATTCTGTCTGTCCCTGAGTAACAATTCTCTGGCACTCAGTAACAATTCTGTCTGTCCCTGAGTAACAATTCTGTGGCACTCAGTAACAATTCTGTCTGTCCCTGAGTATGAATTCTGTGGCCCTGAGTAACAATTCTGTGTCTGCGCGCGTAACAATTCTGTGTCTGTGCAAGTAACAATTTCTGTCTGTCTGCCCTCAGTAACAATTCTGTGTGCTCCTGTAACAATTTTGTGTCTGTGCGAGTAACAATTCTCTGGCACTCAGTAACAATTCTGTCTGTCCCTGAGTAACAATTCTCTGGCACTCAGTAACAATTCTGTCTGTCCCTGAGTAACAATTCTCTGGCACTCAGTAACAATTCTGTCTGTCCCTGAGTAACAATTCTCTGGCACTCAGTAACAATTGTGTGTCTGTGCAAGTAACAATTCTGTGTCTGTGCAAGTAACAATTTGTGTCTGTGCAGTAAACAATTCTCTGGCACTCAGTAACAATTCTGTCTGTCCCTGAGTAACAATTCTCTGGCACTCAGTAACAATTCTGTCTGTCCCTGAGTATGAATTCTGTGGCCCTGAGTAACAATTCTGTCTCTGTGCGAGTAACAATTCTGTGTCTGTGCAAGTAACAATTGTGTGTCTGTGAGAGTAACAATTCTCTGGCACTCAGTAACAATTCTGTCTGTCCCTGAGTAACAATTCTCTGGCACTCAGTAACAATTCTGTCTGTCCCTGAGTAACAATTCTCTGGCACTCAGTAACAATTCTGTCTGTCCCTGAGTATGAATTCTGTGGCCCTGAGTAACAATTCTGTCTCTGTGCGAGTAACAATCTGTGTCTGTGCAAGTAACAATTTGTGTCTGTGAGAGTAACAATTCTCTGGCACTCAGTAACAATTCTGTCTGTCCCTGAGTAACAATTCTGGGCACTCAGTAACAATTCTGTCTGTCCCTGAGTAACAATTCTGTGGCCCTGAGTAACAATTTGTGTGTCCCTGCAGTAACAATTCTGTGTCTGTGCAAGTAACAATTTTGTGTCTGTGAGAGTAACAATTCTCTGGCACTCAGTAACAATTCTGTCTGTCCCTGAGTAACAATTCTCTGGCACTCAGTAACAATTCTGTCTGTCCCTGAGTATGAATTCTGTGGCCCTGAGTAACAATTCTGTCTCTGTGCGAGTAACAATTCTGTCTCTGTGCGAGTAAACAATTCTGTGTCTGTGCAAGTAACAATTTTGTGTCTGTGAGAGTAACAATTCTCTGGCACTCAGTAACAATTCTGTCTGTCCCCTGAGTAACAATTCTCTGGCACTCAGTAACAATTCTGTCTGTCCTGAGTAACAATTCTCTGGCACTCAGTAACAATTCTGTCTGTCCCTGAGTAACAATTCTGTCTGTCCCTGAGTATGAAATTCTGTGGCCCTGAGTAAGAATTCTCTGGCACTCAGTAAACAATTCTGTCTGTCCCTGAGTATGAATTCTGTGGCCCTGAGTAACAAAATGTGTGTCTGTGCAAGTAACAATTCTGTGTCTGTGCAAGTAACAATTTTGTGTCTGTGAGAGTAACAATTCTCTGGCACTCAGTAACAATTCTGTCTGTCCCTGAGTAACAATTCTCTGGCACTCAGTAACAATTCTGTCTGTCCCTGAGTAACAATTCTCTGGCACTCAGTAACAATTCTGTCTGTCCCTGAGTAACAATTCTCTGGCACTCAGTAACAATTCTGTGTTCTGTATGTCTGTGGCCCTGAGTAACAATTCTGTGTCTGTCCCTGAGTAACAATTCTGTGTCTGGCCCTGAGTAAGAATTCTCTGGCACTCAGTAACAATTCTGTCTGTCCCTGAGTAACAATTCTCTGGCACTCAGTAACAATTCTGTCTGTCCCTGAGTATGAATTCTGTGGCCCTGAGTAACAATTCTGTGTCTGTGCAAGTAACAATTCTGTGTCTGTGCAAGTAACAATTTTGTGTCTGTGAGAGTAACAATTCTCTGGCACTCAGTAACAATTCTGTCTGTCCCTGAGTAACAATTCTCTGGCACTCAGTAACAATTCTGTCTGTCCCTGAGTAACAATTCTCTGGCACTCAGTAACAATTCTGTCTGTCCCTGAGTAACAATTCTCTGGCACTCAGTAACAATTCTGTCTGTCCCCTGAGTAACAATTCTCTGGCACTCAGTAACAATTCTGTCTGTCCCTGAGTAACAATTCTGTCTGTCCCTGAGAATGAATTCTGTGGCCCTGAGTAAGAATTCTCTGGCACTCAGTAACAATTCTGTCTGTCCCTGAGTAACAATTCTCTGGCACTCAGTAACAATTCTGTCTGTCCCTGAGTAAAAATTCTGTGGCCCTAATAACGTTTCTGTGGCCCTAAGTAACAATTCTCTGGCACTGAGTAACAATTCTGTCTGTCCCTGAGTATGAATTCTGTGGCCCTAACTAGCGTTTCTTTGTCCCTAAATAACGATTCTGTGGCCCTCATTAACAAAGTCTGTGTCCCTGAGTAATGGTTCTCTGTCCCTAAGTAACTTCTCTCTGTCCCCAATTCTCGTTTCTGTGGCCCTAACTCTGTCCCTGTCCCTAGTACAGAGCGGTCTGCCTCTGTTCAATGACTGCAGGCAAATGAAGATTTCCAAAATGGCCGCTATATATATACCTCGACCATTACACAGTGCTGGCTGGCTGGCTGCTGATTGGCTGATGCGATCACATGTCGTTGAGGAATGCATTATGGGGCAGCGCGCCTTGTCTGCGCGCCTTCCCCGACATCCCCGCTCCGTCGCCGCACATGTCAGCCGCCATTTTCGGAAAAATTTCGATTCGCGCGTCCGAATTAGGCTGTTTTTCGGATTCGGCACGAATCGAAATTTTTCCGATATTCGACTCGAATTCCACTTCGGATACTTCGATTCGCTCATCTCTAATTATGAGGACAGAGAAAGAATATGGAAAAAGCTGCGGGAGACCCCAGAATTAAAATATTGAGAAACAAATCTACAAGTCTTTGCAGACATTTCTTCTGAGACACTAGCTAAAAGTTGATTGCTGAAACCCATATTGGATTAGATGAAGGACAAAGGAATCCAATATAACTGGGGGTTCTGAGCATGTATGATTGGGTGGAAAGACAGGAAATCAGCAAGGCTAAGATTCCCAGAAGAACTCAGTGACTTTTGTGAAAAATTAGATTTGCAGAATGTGGGAATTGCGGGGTGGATGGGTCAAATGAAAGTGAAAGGGTACGGTCAAAAAAGAGAAGTGGCAGTCAGTGAATAAAAAGAGAAAATAAATTGAATTGGGGGAGGTGGGCAGGGGGGTTAGTGGGAGGATAGGGGGCTACGAAGGATGAATCCATGTCCCCCTCCTCCCCCCTTTTTTCTTCTTCTTCTCTCCTCTTGTCCCCCTCTCCTGTGTTTTTCAGTAGGTTTTTGAGTAAGATAAGTAGAGTTGGCAGGACGTCGGGTGGCCAAACAGAGAATTAAACACTTAAACCCCATGTTGAGATTAGGAGGTAGGAGCGGGTGTCCATGTTCAGAGTGTTACCCCAATTTAGGAATCACCAGTGGGAGAATCCCCCATCAGGTTCCAGGGCAACATATAGGCCAAGGGTTTTTTAGTAAGGGTTTGGGAGGGGTGGGATTGGAGGAAGGTCCATGAGATGGGTATACTGTTTTCTCTTTGAACAAGAAAGAGAGCAGAAATATTACACAGCTATGAGCCTGATAAATTTAATGACATATAATGTGAAAGGTTTAAATTCTCCTACCAAAAGACATAAGATACTTAGGGAAGTTCATCAACTCTCTGCAGACGTTGTGTTATTACAAGAGACACACTTATCATATAAAACAAATGTTAAATTACACTCAAGTTACTACCCAACTTGGTACTATGCGGACTCACCAATAAGGAGGGGAAAAAGGAGTAGCGATCGGGTTCTCAAAAAATGTGGGTTTTGATGTGGAGGAGAGATTGGTGGACCCAGAGGGACGATTTCTATGTTTAAGAGGGAAAATGCAGGGACAAAGCTATACCTTGGTTAATGTTTACTGCCCAAATCAAAATCCAGAGGGATTTCTGTAAGAAGTGTTGGGGAAAATTCTGGAGTTTAAAAGGGGAATACTGGTCCTGGCAGGAGATTTCAATTATTGTCTTGATCCATGGATGGATGCGTCTTTGAGCGCACAAAGTAAATGAGGTAAAAAATTAAGAGTATTGAAAAAAAGGTTACATCAAAGTCAGGTAATGGACGCATGGGGGGTGAAACATCCCAGAGAAAGAGATTATACCTTCTCCCTGGCGCATAGATCATACTCACGGCTGGAATATATTATGATCGCGCATAGACAACTGGATTCACTGGTTAAATCCAATATAGAAGTTATGTCTATCTCAGATCATGCTCCTGTCACGGCAAGAATAAAGATAGGAGGAGAAGGGAACAAAATGGCAATGTGGAGCTTGAATGAGCTGCTTATACAGGACCCTGAAGTAGAGAGGAGAATAAGGGAGGAAATAGAGCAATTTTTTCTGCTTAATGAAACAGAGGAAGTCTCTATGGCCACCATTTGGAAAGCACATAAGGCGTATGTGAGGAGAATCCTAATAGCCACAGGTACTAAAAAAAAGAAAGATCGGGAGAGAAAAATAAAGGAGGTGACAAAGGAGTTATATTGGTTAGAACAGGCACATAAAAAGAGACAGGAGATAGAGGTTCATTCAAAGATTATACTTAAAAGAGAAGAGTTAAAAGACCTACTGGAACAGGAATCAAGGAAGATCTTCAATAGGGTTTCAAAGGAAAGATATTAGTGGGGGAATAAGCCAGGAAGATATTTGATGGCAATACTTAAGGGGAAGAAATCAAATATTTATATTGAAAAAAATGAAAGATGAAAAAGGATAACTGGTATAATCCACCACTCATATTGCTGAAACATTCCAAAAATGTTACAGTAGGCTGTATGATGTGAAACCTAGGAACACGAAAGTCTCAGAGAAAGAAAAAAAGGGGGGAAACGGCAGGAATTTTTAAAGGCGGCAGACCTCCCAAAAATATCAAAAGAAAAATTAGTATTGTTAGAACAAGCGATCTCCTAAGAGGAAATTAATACGGCCCTAAAGAATACGGCAGGAGGGAAAAGTCCAGGACCCAATGGGTATATGGTGGGTTATTATAAGAAATTCGGAGACTTATTGGGCCCTAAATGTTGTACATATATGAACGCCTTAGGAGAGGGAATGGGAATAAGAGCAGAATTGCTGAAAATGTATATAACAATCATTCTAAAAGAAGGAAAGGACAGTTCACAATGAGCAAGCTATAGACCTAGATCACTACTGAATACAGACACAAAACTGTTTGCGAAGGTGCTAGCAATGAGGTTAAAAAAGTTGATGCCGGAATGGATACATTCAGATCAGGTAGGGTTTGTCCCAGGAAGGGATAATGGTTTTAGAACACTGCTTCTTTTACAGAAGGCAAAGAGAGAAAAGTTACGAATAATTTTATTGTTGATCGATGCTGAGAAAGCTTTGGGGATTTATGATAAATATCCTAGAGGCCTTGGGAATAGGGACTAAGATGATGAGTTGGATAAAGGAGCTCTATAAAGCCCGTCCGCTGAGGTGAAGGTAAATGGGTCCTTCTCGAGGACCTTTAAGATGTACAATGGTACAAGGCAGGGATGCACCTTATCCCAGTTATTATTTGTAATATCCCTGGAACCTTTGCTGGTGATGGTAAGAGAATGTAGATATAAGAGGAATTAAGATAGGTGAGATAGAGTATAAGGTAGTGGCATATGCTGATGATATATTGTGCACCCTGGGTTAACTCTGCCTAACCTATTGGGATTACTAAAAGGGTACGGAGAGCTTTCAAATAAATCCCTCAAAATCAGAGATCTTGAACATCAGTGTTTCAAAGAATGTGATACAGACTTTACAAAAAGACTTCCCATTTTCAAGAAGGGAGAAGGAATTAGGGTACCTAGGCGTAAAGTTGACTCCTTCTATAAATAATATATACCGGGCAAATTATATTCCATTAATAAGTTAAATAAAGGATGAGCTGAGAAGACTCTCTAGGCCCTAGGGGAAGGGTCTTTTGAATCGGCTGTATAAATCTGGTTAAGATAGTGATAGTCCCAAAAATCTTATATAAATTTCACATGCTCTCAGCCCATATCCCAGGATCCTTATTTGGGATAATAAAAAACTAATACTTAAATATATATGGGATAATAAGAAACCGAGAATTAGGTATGAAGTTCTGTATAATAAGAAGGAGAAAGGAGGATTAAATCTGCCCAATATTAAGAACTATTATACTGCAGCAATGTTATCATGAATTGTAGATTGGACATATAATTTACAGGGTTAGAGTTGGGTTAAAATAGATTTTTTTATCCAGTAATACACGATTAGATAGGATTATTTGGATACCACAATAGTTTTGCACTATGAATGAGACTAGTAGTACATTGATACATGAAGTGTTAAGAGTATGGGATAGAATGCACAATCAAATGGATTGGAAATAAAATTCACTATTGATTCCCCTGGTGGATACTGATTTCCCACCGGGGAAGGACAACATTTCTGGGAAATGGTTTAAAGATGTAGATGCACAGTTAGGGGATATATCATATACAAAAACATGCAGCGCTAGAGTGAATAGATCTATCTCATAATACGGAGTGACCACTTAATAAGATATAAACGCAGCTATCATAATAGTCTTATGCAACTAATATTATAACATTCTCATGGTTAAGAAGGTATAAATGGTGATAAAGGTGTCAAAGTCAATCTATCACCGGAGTGACGTAAATCTGTGACATCTGTGGTAGGAAATATGGCTGTGGAATGCACTAACCAGATAGCGCAAATAAAAGCGCATTGGAGTAAAATGACCTACTCCTGGTCACTGGATCAGGGAACCTGCCGGAATGGTGGTCGTCTCTACTATGGTCACCAGAGTCATCCGTGTCCTCTCCAGTAATGGAATTCCCAGGTATCCGGTGGAGTAAACGTTCATCCGGTATGCAGTAGAATCCTTGTGTCAGCGACCTCCCGGGGTGC